CTCTCTCTCTCTCTCTCTCTCTCTCTCTCTCTCTCTCTCTCTCTCTCTCTCTCTCTCTCTCTCTCTCTCTCTCTCTCTCTCTCTCTCTTCCCCCAACTAAGTCCCCTACCTTGTTGAATGCGGTCGTTGGTGGGTGACGGCAGGGTCACGCGCGATGGCGGGCATTGGCAGGTGCTGGCGGGGTGCGTCGAAGAGGCGCGTTGAAGTTGCGCGTCGAAGGCCGGCGGACACACAGTGCTGCAAGGCAGGGAACGGGGGCCGGTAGCTCCCGCCCTCACCGATTTGAAATCGGTGCAATCTGGGTCTTCGATCTTTGAGATCGACGATCCAGATGGGGCCCGATTTCAAATCGGTGAAATCGGGCCTACCGGCCCCCTTTTTTTTTTTTTTTGGCGGTCCATACGGTCTATGAAGGGGGCAAAAAGGGCCCCAGCGCCGAAAAAAAAAATAAAAAACTTAACCTGCAGTGATGCGCTGGGGGCGCCCGGTGGGCAACCGGGCTCGACAACCGGCCAGGTGGCCCGGCACCCCCCCCGGGCGACGGCCAGGCCGCCGGGCGGCCCGGGGACCAGCGTAGCTTGACATGTAAAAATTTATAAAATTTGAGAAGAAATTGCTTAAACCACCAGTCTGGGAGACCCTTCTGTGGAACTCTGATCACATCTTAGCATGAATGAATTTTACTGGGCGCAGAGGTAACAAAGTCTGTGTACAACACCCGTCCGCCTGCACCTGATCTGATACGCTGATTATGTTCCTGCTGGAACGTCCACTAAAGGCCCGTAGGTTAACTGATGCCGCACCTTGCTTGCAGACAAGGTGCTTTGTTCCACCATTTCCGGCGAGGCCTGTGTTGCTATCATCCACAGGCGGGAACATTATCAGCGTATCGGACCAGGTGCAGGGGACGGGTGTTGTACAGAGTTTGTTAGATCTGCATACTTTTTTGCACCCAGAAACCTTTTTTTTTTTTTTTTTTTTTTCAACAAGGAAAGAGCATCCCATTATACTGCGAAAGGAAAGGAGGAGGCCGAGAATCCCTCCAACAATACAACCCGGAAGAGAAAAGAGAGGAGTGGGACCGTTACCCAGCTTAAGTTCAGGCGTTTGGGGTTATTAACATATTACGGAGTATATAGGACAGAAACGGCCACCAACGGCCACCAACACCGGACCGCTGTCCCAACAGCCCCCACAGCCAGAATTTTTGGTTTGCTCTACACATTTTGTTTTTCTTTTATTTCCCCCAAATGGATCTGCTCTTAACCCACGTTCCGGGTTTTGTTTTCAAAATTATTTCACAGAAAAGGATGAGGAAAAAAAATTGCCTAGGTCGCTGCGCACAAAATTTTGCGCACACCCTGACGCCAGACCCCGCGTGGATGGTAGCCGGACCCCCCTTCTTGCTATCTTGTATACGGTTGCAGGCCTTGGTCGACATGGGTTTTATTGCTGTCGGTTTATGACAGAAACCCTTTGTTCGCCCATTTGTACTCTTGGGGGAGGGCCTGAGTAGACGGTAAAGGTACGAATTTTGCCAGCGGTCCAGTGATGGGGTCTCTAATTCCATCAGTGCCGCCGTCCGTCCAAGTTCAAGGATGGGCAGACCGACAGATGCAGATTTAGATAATGAATGAAGGAAATTTCAGAAGTGCCACTGTCGGAATGTACCTAAGCCTCTGGACAAACTAAGTCTCTGTACAGTTTGTGCACAATCCAAGTCTCCGTACGGACCACGGACCTC